GGTGTCGAAACTGTGCTGAAACTGTACCAAGCCGGTAGTTAATTTGTGCTGGATTTGTGTCAAATCTGTGCTGAATCTGAAACAGAAACTGACAGCTTTGGGCTTCACTTGCTTATTTCTGCTTCACTCTTGAGCCCTTCTGTGAGCACCTGTCTGCGGGCACCTGTCTGTGAGCACCTGTCTGCGGGCACCTGTCTGTGAGCCTGCGTCAGTGTATCAGTCCACATCTTTGCCAGTGAGACTGTCTGTCCCGGTGCCAGTTACCCTCGGTCGTTTCCAGGTGATCCCGGTGGGCGGTGCCCGGCGGTAGAAGAGGGATTCGGCACAGGGGGGGAACAGGGGGTCCTGGAAAAGTACCCCCCTGTGGAGACAGCGGCGCTTCAGCTGGTGATAACGCTGTCCCTTAAACACCTGTACTCTCTCCGGCATCCTGAGAGGGAGAGGAGGAGGAAGCATGAGGGTGGGAGAGTGAGAAAGACCGGCTGGCAGCACATCAACAGGGCACTGATAGAAAATGAGAGGTTAATACACCCTGACTGGTAGGAACTGAACACACAGCACGAGAGAGAGGGGATGGAGCTCAGAGAAGGGGGACAGGCAGGAATATTAAGACAGAGAGACGGAGATGCGGGGAAAGAGAGAGAGGAGGTGCGCTGTGCCAGGTGGCTATGCTGGCAGTGTGTGTGTGTGTGTGACCAGGTGCCTGGCTCTGTGGCACTGTGTGTCAGCGTGCGCCACTGTGTGGCAGTGTGCCAGGGAATGTGTGGCACTACGTAACTTTGTGCCAGGCCATATGTGGCACTTTGTGGCACTGTACCAGAGAATGTGTGGCAGCATGCAAGGCACAATGCCAGGCCCTGCCGGTGCCCTCTTGACCCACCAAGAGACACGAGATGAATTTCACTATTATTACCTCTGCTCTGCCTGCCTGCACTCCCACTGTTTAATATAGCTCGGCCGGGACGCAGCGCTGGCACCAGGGCTGTATAAGGATCAGGCTAGATCCAGCACTCGCTGCAGCCAACACATTTTCAAATTAGCAGCGCTGTGCTCTGCAGTTCAAGAGTTTTTAGACTAGCTCGTGCCCCATGTTCATAAACACGATAGACGATCAAGCTTGCAGCTTGAAACTGGGATCGTATTTGTCCCCCCCGCGATCGTTTACCATCAATTAGCGCAGTCACTGACCTACTTCTCATTTTGTACGTCTTTCAGCTGCTTCTGAGGAAGTCTGAAAAGACCCGGGCATCAAGTTAACTATGCATGCAGCTTCTTGCTCATGAATTCCACTGCCTGGAATTCGCTGAGAATTTTCACCTTTAGGCTGAATTTGTTTTCACTATTGCTACATGGACTTCAGGGCAATCTGGGGGTGTTTCAGCCAGGCGGGGAAAAAAGTGACGTAATCATTTTTCCCCCACACAGATGTCAAAGGGTTTTAAGAGCTTACAGGCTTAATACAGAACAGACACATCAGTCATACGAGCACAAGAAAAGTTACAAATGTTAACAGTATGATCTGGCTGGGTATTATCATTGTGTGTGTTACAGGTTGCTTGCTGATCGAGGGATTTCGCCAATCATTTCTTGAAGGACCCAATATCCTAAAAGATTAGCTAAAACATCGAGCTAAAGAGGACTACCAAGGACAAAAATTAAACAAAGACCCAAGTGGAAATGAAGGCCTGGCACGTTCAGGACTGAACACCAGAAGGTTCAAAAACAGCCACTCGGGGTTCCAGAATCCATTCACAAGCTTGGTGCGGTGAATAGTTCATTGTTCCATAATGCAGCCGATGTAACTAGTGCTCTAAACTTTGAACAGAAATACTCACCTCTGTCTTACAAGCCAGATGTTCCTTAGCCAGATATGATTTTCCTGTGCAGAATCTCTTGCTCTGGGATCCTACTGTAAGGAGCTACACATCCAAGTCAATGCGGTCTTCATTCATTTGCCACATTGTGCCCTTTTGGTGGTATTCTGACACCCCAATCCAACCATCAGTACATCCACCAACGCAGGGAACCTCCAAATTTCCCTGTCTTGCCCTTCTCCCCTGTCCCAGCTTTTCAGTGTCAGTATGTGTGTGAAATAGCTGAGTCAGATCAGCTCAGCTCTTGCCGGTGTAACTTCATCTCGTCAACCAGCTAGACAATGGACTCCATCTCCCTAAAAACTGCCGCTCACTGAAACTGACCCCCTCTGCCAGCACACAGAGTAACAAACGCGCGTCACCGTCGAGCACTGCACACAGGAGCGCGCAGCCCAACTCAGACCGTCTCTTCCCTTTCGGGTGCGAACCGGTCACTACCGGTCACTACTTCAGGTCAATCACAGACGTCTGAAAAAAAGAAACACGCTGCGATGTGTGGCTATCCTTGCTCTTAAACGGCGACAAACACTGCCCGAGTCCCTGGTCTGGCAGTGAAGAGATCCCAGCGTCTGTGCATGTGTGTTTATGCTTTTCCTCAAGCTCGCTCAGACTTGTGCTCCAAGCCTCTCGCACTCAGACATCACAGCCAACTTCCATCCCTGCGTGTAAAATAATCCACGCTGGCGCTTCCCCTGTGAGAGGTTGTGCTCCCCCATGCACTTCCCCCTGAAAGTACTTCTGCTTCCTTAGGTGATTAGTGGTGTTCGAATCACCCCCCCCCCCACCTCTCTCTCTCCCTGACAGATCCGCTGTCAGTCTGCCTGTGTCACTGACACCTGAGTCCCCAGGGCAACCGACTCTCTGGCTCTTAACTGCTTCAGTGCCAGACCACAGACGCCTTGAGAAAAAGACAATAATCCCACTTCATTGATCAACTCCCACTTGGGTTTTGAGAGCTCGCAGGCTTAATACAGTAGGAAAGCAGCAGGCATAAAAATCCTCATCAGTTTGGCTGCAGGATAGGAGGGGTCCTTTTGGGACTTTCCCGAATCTTAACACACCAAGACACAGCCTGTATAACTACTGTTCTCTGGCCTTTTCCACCAGCGTGCTGATCCTCAATGAAATCTTGACTAAACTCTGAGTTCTTATTTAAAGTACCACCTAATGTTGTGATCAAGCTATTATTTAAACTTACCAGACCAACTAGCTGAACTAATCACTCATCAGGTTGAACTAAGCCTTCGCCTTCTTTAGATTGCACTGCAAGTTTGTTGAAGATGCACAGATGAGACTAAATCGCAAATGATCTTTTTTATCCATTAAAAATCCATCGTTCTAATTGAGCACAATAATTGGGCCAATGACTTGATTAAAGAGATCCCAAATTAGTGCACAAAAATTAGAAGGTGTAGTACGTCAGGAATCAGGGCTCAGGAGGCGAGTGAAGTACTCTTTAAGACCACAGTGTTTGTTACACAAATGGTCTACAAGAGTCTATAAAATGATCATCCAAAAGGCAAGAGTTAAATTTGTGGGGTTTTCTAAGAATCCTACACCGCCCCAATCAAAACCAAAGGTTTCACTCGCTCAGGGGAAACACTGCACTCTGTATTGTGAGGAAAGGATAAATAAAGTAAAATAAAAGAAAGATATGACGTGCTGTCCCACCTAAGATCTTGTGTATTTCTGAATCCCACCACCTTCGGTTATCAATCACACCTCTGATGATCCCATCATCCTTCTTCTTCATCTCCAGCACCATATCCCTCTGTCACTGGGGCTATCTGAACTAATTTGAACACTAAAACACACACACAAGACGTATGAAGTTCTAGTAAATAAAAACAGTCCAACTTTATTACACAATATTAAAAAAACATGTTGACTTCAGTGACAATTTGAAGGAAATGAATGCCCAGGGTGACAGTAAAGGGGTTCTGTAATCTTTGAGTTAGATATAATTTTCTCTCCCCTCTTGGTCTTTCAACAGACTGTATTCATACAGTGTTTGCTACATTTTCTTCTAACCCTGATGTTACAAAGTCATACAAAAACACCTCTCTTGCCTGCAAGGACTTTATGATTAGCACCGGGAAAGGCACCTAACACTTTGCAACTTCTTCATGTGGTTTTGTTACTGTGGGAAGAGGAGGGCAGTGCCACCTGCTTCTCAATGTGAGCTGCTCATGATTACCTGCAACCCAACCATGATTACCCACCCACCCCCCATTTATATGGAAAGTGAACGTACATATCCGCCTTCTCTGTCCCATCCGCCCATACACGCAAGCCATCTCTCCCATGTCACCCCCACTCCCAATTCTTTTCTGTCCTCCATGCACTTTCATGTAAAGCACTTACACCCCTGATCCTCTCTCAAGAAGAGGCAGACACCCTAGAGAAGTCCATGCTCTCAGTGAGGGGAGCGGCAAACTCTGGCTCTGGAAAAGTCCATTCTCTCCTTGGAGTGGCAAACTCTAGCTCTGGAAGAGTCCATTCTCTCAGTGGGGGGAGTGGCAAACTCTGGCTCTGGAAGAGTCCATTCTCTCAGTGGCGGGAGTGGCAAACTCTGGCTCTGGAAGAGTCCATTCTCTCAGTGGGGGGAGTGGCACCTTCTGGCTCTAGAAGAGTCCATTCAGTGGGGGGAGTGCGTACTGGCCCCCGGGGAGTCTGCTCTCTCCAGCTTGACAGTGGGCTCCAGGGAGGGCAGGGCGCCAGAGGAAGAGGTGAGGGAGGCTGTGGGAGTGGGTGAGGGGGAGGGGGAACTCAGGCTGGCGTTCAGACCTTTGACCTCCGAGGAAGAGGAGGAAGGAAGAGAGACCACAATGTATTTCTGCACTGTGCGGGAGCCTGCCCCAGCCCCAGTACCGGACACACCCCCTACTCCTGTCCCCCCGGCGCCCCCACTAGTCTCCAGTTTGACCAGTGGCTGCAGGCCTGACGAGGAACTGGGAACCGTGCTGGTGATGGGAGAGGAGCTGCTGCCAGACTGGGACGAGCTGAGAGTGATCACCTGGAAAGAGACGGGGGAGGCCGGTGATGAGCGGGGACAATGAGAGAGAAGGACGGGCAGAGAAACAACAGAGAAGGAGAGAATAATAGACTCCCAACACTGGCACTCAGAAGATAAGTGGACAACAGAGAAATAAAATATCGTCCATATACAAATACACTCATCCCTTGCTCTATGAGCACAATCGGTTCCAAAATTTTTGCTCGTAGGCGAAAAGTTGTAGAAGCGACACTAAATTCCCATTAAAATACTTGCAAAATTATCTGACTCGTTCCAAGTGCTCCTAACTGCACATAAGCCTGTTGAGTTTAGGCACTTTTCTGATGTGTTATGTTGTGATGTGTATAGTCTGGCACCATAAATTGATAAGTAAACTTTTTAGTAGAATTTAACAATACTGCTTTTTTATGCAAGCTGTTATGTTTTAACATATGATAAGGCAGTTGAGAAATTACATCTGAATGATCTCTATAGTACACATGAACTATACATATGGCATAAAGCAATCCAAATTTTGTTACTAAACAAAAATTGTTGATGATGATAGTTAATAAGTCTAAAAAAAGAGTAAAAGTAAGACAGAGCATCAAGATCTTTGGCGACGTGTATTCTGTGCATTCAAAGATTGCAAAATCCTTGTGTGTCTGTGTGTGCCCTGCGATGGACTGGCACCCAGACCAGGGCATACCCTGCCTGGTGCCTGTTGCTTGCTGGGATAGGCTCCATCTCCTGGATAAAGCAATTAGAAGCTGGATTGATGGAATTCAAAACAATGGCCGGAACCATAACTAGCATTAGAACGAGTTGCATGCTTGGAGCTCGTATGAGCAAGGGACGTTCACAGGTAGAACAAAAATAGGTGTATATGCAGCCCTTATTTTAGCAAGTGCTCATAAGTGAAGTGCTCCTTTAACGAGGTGCGAGTGCACATAGAGGCAGAAAAGGGCTGATACCAGCAGAACATGAGAGCAATGGTAAGGGACTGCTGGGCGGACAGATGGGACAGAGAGGAGGACACACAGGCCTGGACACAGGCAGACAGTACCTGTTGCGCAGAGCCAGCGCTAGATGACATTACGATGAACTTGGGAGGAGGGGAAGGCTGCGTTGGCGTGGAGGGGCGAGCTGACACCAGCGTCTGGACTGGCAGCGTGAGGGAGCTGGGCACCTTGATTATACTGGGGGAGCGAGAGACGCCCCCGCCGGAGCCGCTCTGAGACAAGGTGAGAGTGGGCCGAGGCTGCAAGGAGGGGGGAAGAGAGAAAAGAGCACGTCAGGTCAAGGCTAGAGGCTACCAAAATATTCAAGACTTCAGCAGGCTCTGGAGGCTAGGTGAGCACTGATTTTAATTTCTGCTTGCGCTTCTACCACATGCTTTGAAGACTGATCCACCGCATCGTTTCTGCACCAGATTTTTATTTCTACCATTTCAAATGGTCACTTATGTTTTTATCACATACTCACAAGTGAAACTGAGAGCTGCTTTAGGATTAGGTTCTCCTGTAATGACTTCTGCACCTGTCCGGAAGTGAATGAGTGAATGGATGAGCCCCTCTGACCCACCCACCTGTCATTTGACACACTTCATCGCCTCTGTGCCTATCTGAGTTGGCACCAACTGGTTTAAGTGACGCGTCTCTCATGATGTCACTGCAAACCCGCAGGCGTTCTCCGAGATGCTCCGAGAGAGCCTAGTCCAACTAATTCCTGTCCTTTCCCAGTGGCACTCAGCTAATGATGTGCTGTCACTGGGACAGGTGCAGATTTCAGTTTTGGTATGGGCTGTTTTTAATCTTTGCCACAGTCCTCAGGAACAACGACATTTGAGCCAATGCTGATAACTCATCAATACTGTATCTTTACAGAAAACGTGAGCAACTGATCCTGAAGTTGCAGTACCCAAACCCCAGTTACCTGTGTGATGGTCAGTGTGGTGCGGTTGACCTGCTGGGCCTGCATGGCGGCCTGCGCCCTGGCCTTCACCACATGGGAGCACAGCAGCGACCCGAGGTAGCCATAGTCAGTGCGATACTGGTCTGGGTTATCGGGAAGTGGCCGTGTCTTCGCAATCACACTTGCGCAGTGTTTCTGCACGGAGGGAGAGGAAAGGGTTTTACAGCGCTGCAGGGGGGTTTTGAAAGGCAGAAGGACACACAGCCGCACGCATTTGATATCCCTGACCACAGAGACAGACACAAGACACAGTGAAACCTGGTGAGGCAGACACACACAAACACACACGGAGCCGATATCCCATGACCCCTGACCCCGACTCTGTGCCCTCACCAGCAGCAGGCTCTGCACGTGCTCTGCCCCGATTTTGTCGATGTTGCTGACGACGGGCCCCTCCATCACGGCCTTGATGCGGGCCCCCTCCACTTGCAGTCTCTGAATGATCAGAGTCTTGATCACCTAGAGACAGACCGAGAGGTCAGCACGCTGGGAGAGGGGCAGAGAAAAGGACGTGGCCTAACCAGAACCCCAAAGCCAAGCCCGCCCCCGGACCCCTCCCGTGACTCCTCACTTACATCAGGGCCCAGCTCAGCCAGCCCTGCGATGCAGCCGTAGCGCGTGGTCCACTGCGTCTTGTCATCCAGCAAACTCTGCTCGGAGAGAGGCAGAGTCAGTATCGCCTGGCTGAGCCACACGCTGAAACACTACTGCACACTAGCACACGTGATCGCTCACACTAGCACAAACATGTCACTGCCAGTCACACTACAGTGTGTTCAAGTAGATACAGTGGGTTCATGTCTTACGCAAGTTTAAAACACGGGTTTTTAAGATAACACCATATACCCTAAAGTATGTTTTTGTTTAAATTATGTAGAAATAATGCGTGCTGCACAGTTACGCCGCTGGTCGCCCGATGCTCATGGTTCGAGTGTCGCGTTGGGAATGCTGGTACACAGCGATGCTGTTGTTGAGAATTTTTTTCTCTCTCTCATTTTCTCTTACTCTCTCTCTCTCTCTTTCAAATTCCCTGTACAGTAAACATAACTGATGCTTACTAATATTTTATGTATTTTTATGTATACATGTCTGTGTAAACTGTGTTTTTATTCCACACATGTTACAACTTGATGTATTGAAGGTATTTAGTGTATGGCACGTCCCATCATTCGCGTCTATAGGGTGTAAGTAGGGTCAAACTTACACACGTGGAACACAACTATAGCATTTACCATTATTTAAAATAGGAAAAAAGTTTAAATTACATAATATTTACAATATGTGCGGGTTTCCGGAACGCAGCCCCCACGTAAATTAAGAACCTTCTGTATCTGCGTGCGCATGAGCAGGCTGCAAAGGAGGAACAGGTAAAGGTTCATTCTGTGCTGAAAGGAAAAGAAAAGAGACACAACCTTTCGGCCGTGAAGCCTTCTTCAGGTGTGCAAAGAAGGCTTCTCACACGCCTCAAGAAGGCTCCATAGCCAAAATGTTGTCTCTTCTGTTCTTTTCCTTTCAACAAGGAATAGAGCCTTACCTGTTCCTTTACTAACTGCCACCAACAGAGAGTTCTGGAATGTATACTCTTGTACTGCCAAAACATACAGTGGTGCTAGAAAGTTTGTGAACCCTTCAGAATTTCTGCATTAATTTGACCAAAAATGTGATCAGATCTTCATCTAGTCATTTAATGTTGGATCATTCTGATCAGTAAATGAATGAAACATTATATCCTTCTGTGTGTTGTTTTATTGAGTTCTCTTTATCTGTATGACTTACATGAAGATCTGATCACATTTTAGGTCAGATTTATGTAGAAATTCAGAAAATTCTAAAGGGTTCACAAACTTTCTAGCACCACTGTAGCTGGAAAACTAAAAGTAGTCTGGAACATTGGGAGAGGGGACAAGACTCATTGTGCACGCCAACCAGCAGCAGCAGCCCAGTTTTGTCTTCCCATAATTCAGTCCGAGATTTGATTTGATTTCAAAGAGAGCTGCACTCAAACCAAGAAAAGTTCAGCTTCAGCCTTGAACCTGTACCAAAGATGAACAATGGCGTTCAATATTCTTGTCACACACCAGACCAACACATCTGGCCACATAGGCCTATGAACTCTCCTGCAGTTTAACACACCCTTCACGGTGTTTGTTTGGTTGTGAACAGCTTGTTGAACCAAGAATCTAATCCAGCTGTTTTTCTTCAAGGATCACAGCTGGGCAATTCCTATCGTTCCTACTGCTACTGTCAGTCCTAGATGTACAACCTCTTACTTTTTATTTTTTTCTCAAGGTCCTTGAATCATTTGCCCTGTAATTGTGGAACAGAATAGAATTACAGCAAAGTGGAACTCAGTGTGGCCCAATCAGAGACACTGCCATGCTTTGGACACCAAAGGGTGGCACCAAAGCATGCCACCCTTGCACAGTCACACACACACACACACTCTTCGTGCTAACCTTGGTGAACGTCTTTGTGATCCTGGACTGGATGTTGTTGGTGGTGGTGCTGAAGGTCTTGCAGCTCTGGGCCATGAGCCTGGCGGCGAAGTCTCGCAGCGCCCAGTGATTGTCCACGTCTGGCCGCAAGCACAACTGCTTACTGACAATACACGTCACCACCGCCGGGATCAACTCATGGAGCTGAGCGAGAGAGGAACAGAGAGGGGTCTATGACACACAAGGTCTTACAGGGACACACTCTTAACACACACACACACACTGAAGCATGCACACACAGTGAGGCAAACTGAAACACAGATACACTGAGGCACAGCTGTGCCTGTTTAGGGGACACTCACGTATTTCTCCAGGTAGAGAGTGGGGTTGTCCATCAGTGCCTTCACCATCCTCATCAGGTAGATGAGCAGCGCCAGGTTATTCTGGACCACATTAACACGCACCTGAGAGAAAGAGAGAGCACACACAATGAAACACAGCGCAGGTATCGAGGACTTGTCCAAGACGGACAAGAAGGAAGAGGGCAGACCTACCCCTTCCGAGATGAAAGTGCTGAACCGTGGCAGCATCTGGTACAGCCCAGGGTCAGTGGCGATGCTCTGCAGGGCCTCCTGAAAGAGAGGGACAGACCGTAAGAGGGTGCAGTCAAACAGCCAGCTTCCTCTTCCATCAGTACACTCAACACCCTGCAACACGGAACACTGTCGCACCGTCAAACAGGCTGTGGTTCACAGGGGTTGACATGCAGGCAGGTGCACACAGACACAGCCAGGCAGCGTGACAGACATAATCACGCAGGCTGGTGGAAATCAGAAGGACTCACAGCTCTCTTAGCCTCACAGGAGCCCACACAGGCCTCGGTGATCTCCTTGTAGTAGAGCTGCTGCTCCACGGACAGCTCATGGGTACTGCGTGGCTTCAATCGCAACACACACTTTTCCTTTCCTGAGAAAGATGGGGAGAGACGTTTTAACAAACACCCTGGCCCTCCGACGAGCCTGCCACCAGACTATTACAGCTCTTAATAATTTTATTTTTTCCAGTGCCGTTAATACTCAGTCTATAAATGAAAACTGAACACAAAGACCCCCTTGAAAATACATTGCAGATCGGGAAACTTTAGAATGATTACACAGCACTTCAACCCTCACTACATAAGAGCAGTAGGATTACTAACCTTTAGCCTCTGCAGTTGTCGCTCCTTGACCTTTGCCCTGAATCTGCCCCTCCTCTTCCTGTCCGGGCTTCACGGCCTTGAGAGGTTCTGTAGACTCAGCCTTTTGCTGCTCTTTTGGTGCTGTGAGATAGGAGGAGGGCATGAGAGAAAGACAACCAGTGTTTCACAATCGTAAAATCTGATTAAACTAAAGGTGGCTACAGCTAGGGTCAGTGCCATACAAAAGTCAATGTTTGCTCATTTCCCACTGTCACTACAAAAAGCAGCAGTTTTGCGGGACTACAGATCCCAGCATCCTCTCACCTGGTGGCGGGTTCTCTGGGATGGCTGGCTGGACACCTTCAATGCTCAGCCAATGAGCTGCAAGACAGGCAAGATAATGAGTCATTGAATAAGTCAGACTGTCTGTCAATTAGTCACTATGCAGGTCAGTCTGTTGATCGGCCATCTACCTTTCATCGACACATCCAGTGGCACCCGGGGAAGGGGCGTGTTGATGATGTCACTCAGGTCCACCTCCTTCTCCTCATAGAAGTGCAGCTCTCTGCCGCCTCCACTGGCAAAACGGAAGGGGATAAACTCCTGGGACTGGAACCCATACAGCGGCTGGAACACACACACACACACAACACGCTATTATACGCAAACACAATACAACACACACTGCACATCTACTATAAAAACTGATAATTTCAGAAACTCAGGTCCTGTGTGAATGAGCATGGTGGCAAACGCATGGCAATCCCTCGGTCTCACCTCCACATTCTTCAGCTTCAGGGCATAGTCGATGTCGCTTGTTGTCAGTTTGCGCCTCTTCCCATGATGCATGAATTTCAGCGCATCCTGAGGGCACGACAGAACTTGTCAGCCAATCACAGCCTAAACCACAAATTGGTCACCCATCACAGACAAACACATGTTACAAATAAATCACTTCCACTTCTGAAAGACAAACGGATGCAAGCATCAGAGAAAGGCACACAGACAGGCACAGGAAACAGGCTGACTAAGAGCTGGTGGTGCGTCTCAGTCATCCAGAAACAGAGGGTCAGTCTTGTGCTGGAGCGCAGTGGCGTGGGGGGTATGTGTGAGAGATGAACACAGACAGGCACAGATAAGACGGAGAGTCACCGACCTGAGCAATCTCCTTGATGCGGTAGCTGACCTCCTCGCTCAGGGCCAGGCAGGACTCCTCCTGCAGCTGTGACACCCCCACCGACTCAGCCATGGCCTTCATGGACTCGGTGGGCAGCACCGTCACACACTGCTTCTGCTTTCGCTCCTCTGCCATCTGGGAGAGAGAGATACATGGCACTGAACACCAACCGGAGGGACACCGGTTCTCTAGGTCTATCCCAGAATTCCCACACAAGGGACACTGCATGTACCTCAGTTCTGTACGTCTATCCCAGAATTCCCACACAAGGGACACTGTCTGTACCTCAATTCTGTAAGTCTATCCCAGAGTTCCAACACAAGGGACACTGTCTGGACCTCAAATCTGTAAATCTATCCCAGAATTCCCACACAAGGGAAACTGTCTGTATGCCTGTTTTGTTAGTCTATCCCAGAATTCCCACACTAGGAACACTGTACCTCAGTTCTGTAAGTCTATCCCAGAATTCCCACACAGGGGACACTGTACCTCAGTTCTGTACGTCTATCCCAGAATTCCCTCACAGGGGACACTGTACCTCAGTTCTGTAGGTCTCAGAAATCCCTGCTGTTTTTGCTAGTGAAGTGGAACACAAATTCCTGGGAGAGTGTAAGTCTTATTGAGGATGTTTTTTTATGAGCAATTATTAAATAGTGCCTTTCACTAAAAATAGCACTTCTCAGAATACAAAAAAAACATGAAAAAAAAGAACAAGAGATGAGGGCATAAAAAGGCTGTTGGTGTATAAAATGTCTTCAAAAAGATCAGCAGTGGTCGTTTCCTTGTTAATCCTGGGAAAGGAGCTGCAGAGGGGCCTGGTGCCGGAGTCCTGATGGAACGGTCTCCCATGCTGTAGGTGTTGGCTCCTGGTACGTACAGCAGGGCCCTCCAGCAGAACCCAAGCAGTCTTCAGTATCATATGGACTATTTTAAGCCCTACAAACAGGCTGCAAGATCTTATTATCAGCCTGAATAATAATAGCCCAACACTGGTTACCAGTATAGTGAAGCTAAAATCGGAGACGCGCGATCAAGCTCAAGCTTTTTATTTTCGATCTTGCTTAACAATGCGATACCCTATCCGGCCTCTGCAGAGACGTTTTCCAGAAACACCACAGCACAACACTGACTGAGCCTTTCCTCTGAAACAGGCATGTTTAAGGAGGCCATCAAACACAACACTGCACTGAGCCATAGAAGTACCACCCTCCGTTACGCGAGAAAAGAGAAATAGTAGCACAACTGCAGACATGTAAAGGCAGAGTCTTAACCAGAGGCTCAGGAAGGTGGTCTCTCGTGGCAAAGTCAGAGATGTGGCCCCTCACAACAGTCCACCTATACTCTTGTGACGTCATCCATCGACTACGTCACGCTCCTTAGCTGAACCATCTAGCGCTTGAATTTAGCTGAATTCAGAGAGATTACTAACGCTGAAAGATACCATGGAAAACGCAAAAGAAACGCTAAATATTGTCGTACTTAATCAGAAGCTTAGACCACATCAATCATACAGCGAGTCTGAAAGAGACGCGTTTACAAAACCGAGACACATAGTATTGCATTGTTGCTGCAGTACTACTACTGCATGCTATAATCATCAGCACTTCGAAGAATCACGTCGTGTTCTGTGAAATTTCAATTCCTGCCTCTCATGTGTTTTCTTGTTCATACATCTTACGGCTACTATCGTTATGTTTTGGTTTCCCGCATTTTTCTTCGTTTTCGCTTTACACATTCAGCAGAGTTCATGTTCCTTAACGCAGATGATAATCATACACCACTCACCTTTCATGTACTAACAACTGCAGAATCGGGCGTCTGAAGGAAAAAAAGCCCAGTATGAAATAATGTTTTTATTATTATTCCTCATGCCCCGACACTCTTTTCTGGAAATGCCGCCATCTTGATTTGGTTGGTGAGGACTTCCAGGTCCCTTACAGATACGTTACATCACATGAGTTGCTTTTTTCTTAGAAAGACTCAAATAATCATAGATATTATATGAATGTGATATGTATTCGTCCATTAGAAATACATCTATGACTACAAAATCTTTGTTTTGGTTTGTCCTTTAATTTCTAATCGTATACCTCTTTAAGCTCTTTAGGCTTCCAGGACCTGTACTCTGCAAACAAAGTGTCAATGCGCAGACTCATTGCCAATCCCGTACCCACACATGCTAAAGTGCGCATGCTCTGTGCCCTCACTGTGCGGTTAGATATATTGATATGTCGATGTGGCTGTATCCCTCACAGTAGAATCGTAGTTTTATTTTTTTAGAAGAAGCTGTTTAAATAATGAAAATTATATTGCTCGCTGTGCTGTTTTTTCCTAGTTTTTCCGCTGGGGAGGAGGATGAGCGCTTGCCTAATAAATGCGAAGGTGAGTAAGGCACAGAGAGCTTTGCTGTCTCTCTGTCTTTAATTCAGTTGAAAGACGGGGATAGACAGCCCCTCCATTAAAATACTGGCAAATAATATCGCAATACAGTACTGTGCGTCCATTTACTTTAATGCTAGGGAAGAGTACAGCTTTGAAAAGTGTAACGCACTGTAACAAGCTTTACTTTATACAGAAAGGTGTAAGGTTGGTAGTAAATCTAAACCTATCTAAACCTTTTAAATCACCCAAACTGCTTTTCAACAGGGATTTCCGTGTCTCTGTAATTCTGGCCAATGTGTCAGTACTGCTGCGTCTGTGACTCTGTAGTTCTGGCAAGTGTGTCAG